CTCCTCGCGCGCGTATATACTCGTTCTTTCTCGCTCTCTCTTTCTCTCTCTCTATTCTATCTCTCTCTCTCTCTCTCGTCTCTCTCTCCTCCTCCTCTTTCTTTCTCTCTCTGCTCGTTCTCTCTCTCTCTTTCTCTCTCATCTCTCCCTTTTCTTTTTTCCCTTTCTTTTCCCCCTCTTCCCTCTTCCTCTTCCCTCTCCCTCTCCCTCTCTTCTCTCTCCCTCCCTCTCTCTACCTCTCTCTGTGTCCCTCGCTCTCACTCAATCTCTCTCGCGCGCTATATACCTCTCTTTCTTCGCTTCTCTTTCTCTCTTCTCTCTTTCTCTCTACTCTCTTCTCTCTCTCTCCTTCCTCTCTCTCTCTCTCTTCTCTCTCTCTCTCTCTCTCTCTCTCTCTCTCTCTCTCTTCCCTCTCGCCTCTCTCTCTCTCCCTCTCTCTTACCTCTTCTCTGTCTGTCCCTCGCTCTCACTCAATCTCTGTCTTCTCGCGCGTATTATACCTCTCTTTTCTCTCCCTCTCGCTTCCTCTCTCTCTCTCTCTCTCTCTCTCTCTCTCTCTCTCTCTCTCTCTCTTCTCTCCTCTCTCTCTCTCTCCTCTCGGTCTCTCCTCTCTCTCTCTCTCTCTCTTCTCTCTCTCTCTCTCTCTCTCTCTCTCTCTCTCTCTCTCTCTCTCTCTCTCTTCTCTCTTCTCTCTCTCTCTCTCTCTCTCTCTCTCTCTCTCTCCTCTCTCTCTCTCTCTCTCTCTCTCTCTCTCTCTGCTCTCTCTCTCTCTCTCTCTCTCTCTCTCTCTCTGTCTCTCTCTCTCTCTCTCTCTCTCTCTCTCTCTCTCTCTCTCTCTCTCTCTCTCTCTCTCTCTCTCTCTCTCTCTCTCTCTCTCTCTCTCTCATCTCACAAATCTCTCTCTCTCTCTCTCTGCTCTCTCTCTCGTCTCATCTCCTCTTTCTCTCTCGTCTCTCTCTCTCTCTCATCAGTCTCTCTTCTCATCTCTCTCTCTTCCTCTCTCTCATCGTCTCATCTCTTTCTGCTCTCTCTCGGTCTCTCTCTCTCTCTCTCTCTCTCTCTCTCTCTCTCTTCTCTCTCTCATCTCTCTTTCTCTCCTCTCTCTCTCTCTCTCTCTCTCTCGTGTGCGCTGTTAGAAGGCACGCGACCTTTGGCGAAATTACCTGCTGTTGCCGCATACAACAGTGACTGTTCGCTTGGCGCCAGGACGTGCTGCTCTGTTGCGTCTTACAAACACTCCTGCCCACTTCTCGGCACAGAGACGAAGGCAGTGAGCTAGAGTGCGGTGTGAAGAGGAGTAGATTTCGTATACAGGAGATGCGATTGAGAAAAGAAAGTGGTGGGATGACAAAGGAGGAAAAGATGACGAAAGAATCGGGTGCTGATCGAACAGAACTGAAATGAGGGAAGTATATACAATGTGTAATAAAACGGTGTTACTGTGGGAACGAAGGTAGTTACTTTACAATGGCGTGAGGGAAAGAGGCGAAGAAAGCTACTGATAGATGTTGCTAGATGAGAGAGGGAAGGTATATAGATAGTCGTACGAAGAGAAAAAGCTACTCTATGATTGTCGACGGTGAGAATCAATGGGAAGAAGCTACTGTTGATAATGAGACGGATTATAAGAAAGCTACTTAGATACTGATAGTCGGAAAGAAAAGATACTACTGTAAATGGTGACTGGAGAGACGAGAAGGGAAGCTACCTGTATAAGGCGGAGAACAGGACGCGCGATGAGAGAAATCGGTACGCGTGCGCTGCATCTGCGTTCCATTGTCATGCGCGTGGTGCCGTGTGTCGTGTCTCTGTGCTCGTGCGTGCCGTGCGATGCGCTGCGGTGCATGCGGCCGTGTGTGTGTACTGATGTCTATGCTGGTGTGTGTTGTGACTCGAGCCTAATCGAGGAGAGTTGGGAAGTGCGGATGCGGCAGGCTGGGCCAGTCAGGTTCGCCCTCACCTGACACCTAACAAGCGAAACGTCGTCGCTTCGCCCCCACTCGCCTGGACGAACTCTGCCAGCCCGGATTCTACGCCGCCAGAAGCGCGCATCCGCAACCGTTGGCGCCATTTGAGATCAACTCGCTGCCCTATATTAGAATACTTTACGAAGGGCCTGCCGGGGCACCCCGAGCCCATTCTTGGTATTACCGGGTAAAGCCGTAACACTCGCTCAACTTGAGCCTTCTGCATTCGCAGAAGCCTTTCGGCCTGTCGGACGTATGGCGCCGAGAAACATGCAAATACTCGTTTTTGCTTGCTTCTGTGGCTCGAGCGCGCCGTTCGCTTCTTCGTGTAGAAAACATGAATTTTCCGTTTTCGCTGATTTATGCCTTCACATTAAATGTTGAATTATCGCCACTCCATCAGATGGCGGCAACGCAGTCCATCTACCGTATCATTTCCCGTGTTTTTGTAAAAACAAGCTCCGCTGCATGACGTAGACTGCCGCGCCGTGCACAGTTCGACACGCTAGGGTAACTCACTTCAGTGTAAGCGTGTGTTGCGAGAGTGAATGTTGGTAGCAGTCTAGCCTTGGAATCGTCATTGCCGCTTCAACTTCCTGCATGCATCTCAACGCTCCAATGTCATGTTCTGATGTTTGGCATTACCACGTGATAGCTACACCATAAATATATATATAGAGCACAGACGACTGAGAACAGTGCATTTGTGCATATGCGCATGTTCATATAGCCTGCGACATTTTATGTTGCATCCATGCATATATCATGCCGATGTGTTGTACGGCATACAACTGTGATGTGGTTAGAACTAAGGTGTCGAAAGCAGCAAAGATTACTTTCCATCGGTGAGATAACATTTCATAGCTATTACTACTATACTAGTATTAGTATTAGTGAACATCATGTTTATAGTTGTGACATAATGTTTCTCGCCTACCTCTACCTACCTATAGCCATATCTACCTACCTTATATATCCTACTATTCGTAGCTATCTTCCATGTATCAGTTGTTAGGAAAGTCATCAAACGTAAACTGCCTGTGTTGCATTCTCTAGAGCTTTGGCCTAACTTATAAATCCTTTTTGGCACTTTGCCTTCTGCAAGTAATACTGTCTGGGCAGCTACGGATCGGCTCGTAAGCAATATGCTACTGTACATGATGTACCTATTAGTTAACGTCACCCGCCGACAACTGCAACGCTTTGCTAAGCGCATACTGACTCTCCATTTCCGCCTTCAACATGGAGTCTTCAATTGCACTTCGAGTGTCCTTTGTAATTCGATATTAATATTTCCTACTCATCTAGTATTATACGATAACATAACGCACTGCCCCTTTCAAAGTCAGGGGCCGGTTTGACGAAGCGTACTTAACTTAAGTATGATTAAATCACTAATCATATATTAGTCTACTTTCACCACACCCTGCTAATTTGCACACAGTGTATACGCAATACGTTTTTCTTCTCTTATATCATGTTGTCGTTCGAAAGGGTTAGTTTACGTTTCCAGCTGACCTCAAGGTCTCGGCGGCATAACTCTGCGGCAATCAGACGCCAGTGTTGAAATACTGCGGCACACCCAAAGTATAACGCTGAGACTGCTCGCCTGGTCGACAGTTCACACGCCTAGCACTATACTGAACTCGCACACTAATTCGTACGCAAAATCAGCTTGTCGACATGGTAGGCCACAGCGAAGAATCGCCATCTATCCATGCAGTTTCATAACCCTGCAGTTAACCGCTTGCCATAACTCAAACCGGGAACTAGCGCATATCTGCACACAGATGAGCAGCATAATAATGTTATTACTGTCAGTGGTAACATTCTCTTATTAGCCTTTTCTGTTTCATTGAGTCATATTACACAAAAACTGACAATTGTACTTAATGATAGTCATACTACATAAATGTTTAGTCTTCAAGTAGATTTGGCATCTATTAAACGGGCATATACATTTATTTTTTTACATGCAAAAACGAGAGGCTAGCGCGGCATGTTAAGGCTATAGCGCTTTACCTTTCTACCGGATCAGACCACATTGATACTTCAACAATAAAATTCGGTTCCAACCACGCAATGCTGCGTTATTCACCACCCCCCTGCTAATTTCCAAAGAGTGTATATCGCCAATACGTTTTTCTTCACTACTTTAAATTGACATGTTCGATCGATCGTCAGAACGGTGAGTTCGTTTCAGCGCTGACCTCAGGTCATCTGGCCGCACAAACTCTTTGCGGGCAATCAGTACGCCAGTGTGAAATACGGCGGCACACGCAAGTTCGTTTGTGCCGAAGTCGCTCGTGTTTATAGCCAGCCTTTTCTATACATATCTGTCTGGATTATGTAGTGATGTAAAGAGATGTAAAGGTGTCACAAATCTAAGCGACAGGTCCAGAAGCGATTGGTAGTTTCAGTCATAGCAGTCACACACTGATGACAATATCGCTGCCGCAACTGTGTGCATGTAAGTTTTACATTACATGTCTAGTTACGCCTACCCCCACCCCTGTCCCTCGCGTAGCAGAGGATAGTGGAATGTCAGTATGTGTGTTTCTGTGCGGGCCGGTTGTTATGTGACAGCCACAGCAGAGCACAGCAGCGCCAAAGGAAAGTAAAGTCAACTAAAGTAAAACAAAGTAGAGTCGAGTAGAGTATAGATATAGATAGTATAGTATAGTATAGTATAGTATAGATATAGTATAGTATAGTATAGTATAGTATAGTATAGTATAGTATAGTATAGTATAGTATAGTATAGTATAGTATAGTACAGTATAGTATACTATAATATAGCAGAGCATAGCATAGCACAGCATAGCCATAGCATAGCAAGGCGAAACATAGCATGGCATAGTATAGTATTGCACAGCACAGCGCAGCACAGCGCAGCACTCCACAGTAGGTTACGATATAGTAGTATTAGTACAGTATATGTAGTCAGATGTAAACCTTCGAAACGGGGCTGAAAGTTATTCGCTTTTGTCACTGCCACCTTTAGTTTACTTTGACCTTCAGCATATTTCCGTCATGGTGTACAACTGGGCCCGTAAGTCATGTCGTGCAAGCACACTTCCTATACGTACACATGTTGGGGAGAACGTGTCATGCGTAGCAAAATGTGGAGATATTTCATTCATTGTAGATAGTGGGGAATACATGTCGTTAGCGACAAGTGGACTTTTAAGTTTTATATAGGTCTTCTGCATGTCATATCATTCATTCATATGAATCATATCATTCGTTCATGCATGCATATTATTGATATAATGCACATAATGTCATTTCAATGTAACAAATGATATGGGTATGTTGAAGTGTTTACAACTTCTGTTACTTTCTGTGTTTTACAGTTCTGCATGTTCAAAACGACATTTCATTTCTGCTCATTCCCCAGCTGATGCATCAGTAACATGTCGCTTTCACTTCTGTGCTTATAGGGATGTTCAGAGTCGAGAAAGACGTCAAGATGTGCCTGTCGAATGCAGGTCCCACAATTGCCGCAACAACAGCAGCTGCCATTGCTTGTGTCTGTCATTAATGCACGCTGCAGAATTGCCAGAACAACAGCAGCAGCCATTGCTGCTTATTGCGGAGCATGTTGTTCTTGGTCATATAAACAATCATGTAGGGGCCACATACAAACAGCCTGTTGCAGAGGTCATATACGTCATTGCTGCTTGTAGTGTTTGCCATCGTTGCAGAACAGCATCACACACAGTCACGTTGATGCCACTTACGCTTCATGAGGCATATGCCATCGCTTCAGCCGCCGTCACTTTGGCGATAAAACAGGCATGGTTCTAGGACGTTCGGCATGTACTCTGTGTACGTTGTATGTGTGTCGACGTAGCACCAGTGAAAAGCAAAGGCCTTCTATGGAAAGTATGCCTGGCCTGCTGTCGTCTGCACTTGTTTGACAAAACATGAGTATGCTGATGCTAACAGCTTTATGTCATTTCTGCCTTCAGAAATTCGCAGCAGCTGCATTAATTGTGTTGATCAGTGGTTGCCAGCCATGTAAGAACACAAAGATAGGCAGCCAAACTTTCGTGATGTTACGACCATACTGCAAGCATTTGTCGATGACACTGCGAGTCTGTCAGCTGTCACGGTGGTCGCTCACTGACAGAACATGCTACCAGAAGTCAGCAGATCGAGAGAGACGACAGAGAGAGCGAGAGACAGCAATAGATAGCGCGCCGAGATAGAGAGGGATACAAAGAGAGAGAGACAGAGCCAGCAAGAGAGAGAGGGAGGGACAGAAAGGGATAGACACCGCGCGCACGGGCACGATGCTATTCTTCCTAAAATTCTCGACTGCTCGCTGGCAGCTATGGATCCGTCGCCGGCCTACGCACTCGCGCGCACGGATCCATAGCTGCCAGCGCTGCATACTGTCGTAGGACGTTCCCGCGGTCGCGTGCGCCTTGCCGCGGAACTGCGCGCAAGATCTGCGCTTCAGCGCTTGGGATCAACATCTCCTTTCGGCAACGCTTCTCTAGTATCCCGTCTCATCTGGTTCGGCTGACTCATACACGCAGGCAGTTGCCATGTATTCGCGCATGCTTTGTCATGTCAATCATGCCAGAAGGGGTTTAATATACACACCGGGTGTTTATATCTGACGATGGATCACCAATTTATATTCATTCGCGGGGCTTCTGTTTAACGCATACACACAGTGGCAGGTGGCATCAGGAGTACGTCAATAGGTGTCTAGATGCATGTACATCTGATATCGTGCCCACCTGTTCTGTTGTGTTTCGGCCGTGATACCTTTCTGCACGAAACGTCCTGTCGACATGTTTGATACTAAATACACTCCTGATGTTAATAAGAGCTAATAACATGTATGTATTATTAGCTATTGATATTATCCACATCGAAAGAAAAACAAAACAAGGGAGCAACAGGCACTTGGACCGTTACAATAATAAAATTATAAACTAAATATAAAGCAAAATTACTAAAATACTCAATTATACTAAATAAAAAATAAATAAAAAATACTAAATTATAAAATACTAAGCAAAATTATACACTACCAAAGTCCTAATGTTTATGTAAATTCTCTATTGACTAATGATTCTAGGTAAATGCTGTGCAGCTGCTTGCTCTGCAACACACGGTCTCACCGCACGCAGGCCACTCAGCCACTGTGCACAAACTCATAGATCTTAGAGTTCTCTGAGTCTATGTTTCTGTGAGTTTGTGCACAATAGCGTGCGTGCGGTGAGTTTGTGTTGCAGAAAAGCATTTAAATGGCGTTTACGAAAAAATTATTACTAATAATAGGCAGAAGAGAGTCGGTAAACATTAAGACTGGTAGTAAATTTATAGTTTGTGTTTATTTAATATCATTTTATCATTGAAACGGTCGAAGTGGCTGTGAAGTGAACAAACATCCGCACCATATCTCTCTTTAGGGATAAATTCTGGGTAGATGTTTGCAATACTGCATTTCTAGACTGCTACTTCATTTTTCCCCTATCGTTGCTAACTGGCTTGTGTCTCTCGACTTCAGATCATCAGAATTTCTTCGGCATTGATGAGAACCTAGGTCCCGTGGCAGTGAGCATTAGGAGGGAGAGAGTAGATGATGGCAGCGGTAGTCTCTCCCTCCTCTACCAGCACCGTATCATCATGAGAACTAGCGAGGTAAAACTACATCTCATCTCTCACTCATCTCATCTCATCAAGAGCGTATTATGAAGGAGAGCGTACAACGGTGAAATGCTGAAACCATGTTGCAGTATTAGTAGAATTAAGAAACTTTGCCCATTTTATTGTGACGATTTTTTGTGGTAGTATTGATCAGCTGTTCTACCTTACTAATATAAAACAATCCGCTTGTCCCTACGATGCTCCTACGTTGAGATAATGAGCGGTGAAAATCTGGTATTTTTGCCGAAAACCGACTCGAGATCCCGGTTTGCTGCGACCCTCTCTCGTTCTGTGGCCAGTATGTTGCTTCCGGTCGCCGCTGTGTAGCGCCATGGTAGCGCTGACTCACGTCAGTACTATAGAGTTTACTACATCCAGCGTGAGGTGGGCACAGGTGGGGGTCATCATTATGGCAATCAATAATATTAACAGACGTCATTCATTCCATTTGTCAATCATTGACGGTAACACGCGAGGTTTCCCGAAGGCCGAAGCTATCTCAAAGCCAGAGAGGGTCGCAGCCAACCGGGATCTCGAGTCGGTTTTCGGCAAAAATACCAGATTTTCACCGCTCATTATCTCAGCGTAGGGGCATCGAAGGGACAAGCGGTTTGTTTTATATTAGCAAGGTAGGACAGCTGATCAATAATACTGCAAAGAATCGTCAAAATAAAACGGGCAAAGTTTCTTAATTCGACTAATACTGCAACATGGTTTCAGCATTTCACCGTTGTTGTAAGCTCTCCTTCTTAATACGCTCTTGATCTCATGCTTCTCACTCTCTTCATCACCAGTCTTCCTTTTTGAATTCCCTGCCTCCATATTCACCTTTCCCTCTCCGTCTGCTACCCTTTCTCTTTCCGTTTTCCTAAATTCTTGCTCTCCTTTCTGCTTTTCTTACTTTCTGCATTCGTTACACTACCTCTCTCTTCGCTCCAGTTCAGCTTCGCTCGCATTATAACTTTTCTTTTCCTCTTGCAGTCTTCTCACGCTTCTGCTTGATTCCCCTCCCTTGTACGTCTCTTCCACCATCTCTCCCTCCTCATCTGCTTTCTGTTCCCCATTCTCTCCCTCCACTTCTATTTATTATATGTGTGTTTTTTTCTCTGTGCGACAGTGAACATCTGTCTGCACCATCATATTTTGCACAGGCACTTGGAGCGTTTCAATAAAATATAATGCTAAATAAATACGAAATCTATTTACTACCAAAGTCTTAATGTTTCTCTACTTTCCTTCACCCATTATTGCCGACAAGCCGTGCTGCAAATGCTCCAGCCACAGCAAACACAAGCCAAACCGCACGCACTCTGCTGCGCTGCTGCACGCTTGTGCGCGTAGAAGGCACGCGACCTTGGCGAAATTACCTGCTTGCATACAAACAGTGACTGTCGCTGGTCAGCCAGGCGTGCTGCTCTGTTGCTCTACAAACATCCTGCACTTCTCGGCACAGAGACGAAGGCAGTGAGCTAGAGTGCGGTGTGAAGAGGAGAGATTTCGTTATAAATATAACAGGAGATGCCGATGGGAAAGAAAGTGTGGAAAAGGAGGGAAAAGATGACGAAAGAATGGGGATGTGATCGAACAGAAACTGAAATGAAGGAAGCTAAATACAATGTGTAATAAAAGGTGTTATGTGGAGACGAAGGTAGTTACTTTACATGGGTGAGGGAAGAGGGGAAGAAAGCTACTATAGATGATGCTAGATGAGAGAGGGATAGGTATTATAGATAGTCGTAGAAGAGAAAAAGCTACTCTAGATGTCGACGTGAGAATGGGAAGAAGCTACTGTTGATAATGAGACGGATTATAAGAAAGCTACTGTAGATACTGATAGTGGGAAAAGAAAAGATACTACTGTAAATGGTGAGAGGAGAGAGAAGGGAAGCTACTGTATAAGGCGAGAACAGAGAGCGCGATAGAGAAATCGGTACGCGTGCGTGCGTGCGTCCATTCATGCGCGTGGTGCGTGTGTCTGTCTCTGTGTGTGCGTGCGTGCGTGCGTGCGTGCGTGCGTGCGTGTGTGTGTGTGTGTGTCTATGTGTGTGTGTTTGTATGAGCCTATGAGGGAGAGATTGGGAAGTGCGATGGGCGGGCGAGGGGGGACGTTTATCGGCAGGCTGGGCCAGTCAGGTTCCCTTCACTGACACCTAACAAGGAAACCGTGGTCGGCATTCGCTGGTTCGGCTGACTCATACACGCAGGCATGTGCCATGTATTCGCGCATGCTTTGTCATGTCAATCATTGCCAGAAGGGGTTTAATATACACACGCGGGTGTTTATATCTGACGGATGGATCACCAATTTATATTCATTCGCGGGGCTTCTGTTTAACGCATACACACAGTGGCAGGTGGCATCAGGAGTACGTCAATAGGTGTCTAGATGCATGTACATCTGATATCGTGCCCCACTGTTCTGTTGTGTTTCGGCGTGAATACCTTTCTGGCACGAAACGTCCTTCGACATGTTTGATATAAATACACTCCTGATGTTAATAAGAGCTAATAACATGTATACATGT